ATAGTATTCTTTATTTCTAGGATTTCTATTATTTATTTATTTATTTATTTTGAGACAGAGCCTCAAGCTATTGCCCTAGCGTAGAGTGTGTGGCATCATAGCTCACAGCAACCTCCAACTCCTGGGCTTAATCGGTTCCCTTGCCTCAGCCTCCCAAGTAGCTGGGACTATAGGTGCCTGCCACGCCTGGCTATTATTTGGTTGTAGTTGTCATTGTTGTTTGACAGGCCTGGGCTGGATTCAAACCTGCCAGCTCTTATGTATGTGGCTGGCGCCTTAGCCGCTTGAGCCACAGGCACAGAGCTGATTTCTGTTATTTTAAAATTGTTTCTATTTCTGTGTCAAACTTCTTATTTTATCCATGAATTGTTTTTCAGATTTCATTTAATTTTCTTTCTTTCTTTTTTTTTTCATAGTTCCCCAAATTCTTTGTCAGTCATTTCTTTCATTTCTATTTCTTCTGGCTTCTTTATTGGTACTTTATTAGTTTCCTTTGTGTAAGAAAGAAAGTTAAACCAAATTTCCTACAATTGGTGCTTTTTTTTTGTGACTTTGGAAATATGCTTTTGTTTAGAAACTTAGGAAATGCAGATTCTCAAGACAACTCAGAAAGATATTATTTAAACAATAATGTTTTAAAAAATAGCACTGATTTTTACTATTTTATCTAAAACTAAATAAATGCCTTTTAATACTTTATTTTTATCATGTCTTCTGAGTTTTAATTCTTGAAATCTCTGCTTTCTATAAAACCTTTGCAGGTTTCATAGTGTGGCTAATACTAGAGTAAAGCATAGATACTGATATTTCTAAGTAGCTTTTGTACTTGTCTAAGAGTAGACTGCATTCCTTTATACCTTTGGCTATATTATTTGCATTTGTTAGGTAAAGTCCAAGTTGTAGTTGAGCCTTGCACCCAGGAGGGGTTCCATATACCTTTCCATTGTACTCACTAGGTGAGAGCTCACCAAATTCCCTTTGTCTTCCTCCCTCCCCACTTCTTGAAGGTAGTTGCGTTTTTCTCTCTCGTGGGTGTATATTTGTGCATTTGCTGGTTTCATATTAGTATCGAGTACATTGGATACTTTTCCATTCTCGTGATACCTTACTTACGAGGATGTTCTCCAACTCCATCCAGGTAAATGCAAAAGATGTAAAGTCCCATCTTTTTTTATGGCTGAATAGTATTCCAAGTATACCACTAAAAAAAATGGTGTTCAGAAGAACCTTTAAATTCTTCAGGGGTGCTTTCACATTGCTTTCCTGAGAACAGCTTTGTTTTTATATACTATATTGGGAGTTCATCTGTTTAATTATGAATCTTGTAATGGAAGAACTTAGAGTCATGAAGAAGCATCTGGAGATCCATAAAGCAGCACTGACGTGACTAGTTCTGTAAGTTACTTCCTCTCTGTTCTTTACTTTCCTTGTCTGTGAAATGGTGATAGTGGAGATACCTGAGAATTAAATGAAACAGTACATGTTCATTATTTAGAATTGCATTCAGTATTCAGTAAGTGCATGAAACTGTACATAAATGGATAAATCTGTGTCAGAACTGGCATCTACCTGATGTCAAAGCTGGAATGTTACCACTTCCAAATTGTATTAGTGAACTAAACAGGGGTTGAAAGGGGTAAGTGCGTTGAGGATGGGGCTAGAAGACAAGAGTTAGTACCTTTCTTTCAAAGGACAGCTTGTAAGCTCAGATAATGAATCTTGCTTATGAAAGGTCATAGAAATAAGGTTGCTCCAGAAAGGAGGGTTTTTGTGAGTGTGTCTCAAGGATAAAGAGTTAAGGATGCCACTGAAAGACATTCAGACGAACCCATTCCAGGCCAAGGTGGTTCTAGAAGTCCTGGAGAAGAGATGGATGTTTCTGGAAACCTCTAAAGAATCACGTGATTAGAAAGTCTCCTGACTCTTAATAGTTAAGTGAGAATCACAGTAGTTTGAAGTATTAATGAAACTTGAGGCAGAGAAAACAAGTAATCATTATTGAGTTTTAAAAAATGCACTATTTGGGGGGATATGAGTTAAAATTGTAATTTTAGTTTTGAGGTCTTTTATTTTGATTTTGCTTGACAAAAGAATTAACTAATTTATGTTTTATAATACATTATTTAAAAACATATGCTATGTTATGCAGGCATAAGCCACGGTATGTTATTTCTTTGCATGCTTATTTTATCTCCGTAAAGGCCAGTCTAAACTATGGAACACTACTTGTATGTCACCCAAACTTGTAATGACATAAGTCACTTGTGGTGACAAAAACAGCTAAATGTGTAAGTAGGAAGGAGAAACTTTTTACAATTCTTTGCCTTTTTTTTTGAGACAAAGGTGGTCTTGCTCTGTTGCCTGAGGACTATGGTGTATTGTCATAGCTCAGTGAAACCTCACACTCCTGGGCTCAGGCATTCCTCCTGCCTCAGCCCCCCAGGTAGCTTGGGACTACCGGCATATCACACCACAGCTGGCTAATTTTTCTATTTCTTTTTCTTTTCTTTCTTTTTTTTTTTTTTTAATAGAGATGGGGTCTCACTCTAGCTCAAACTGGTCTTAACCTCAAGCAACCCTCCTGCCTTGGCCTCCCAAAGTGCTAGGATTGTAGGTGTGAATCATCACTTCCCACCCTAGAAGCTCTTTTTGAAAGGCACCAGAAAGTGATCGTAGCTATCAAACTGTTATCTAGTATTCTTATAAGATATGTTTAAGATAATGGAAGGCATTATAACAATAAAATAATTTTTAGTAGTCCAAAATTTAGACAGTTCAGATAACCAAGGAAAAAGGTATGAAGCTAAGTATAGACGTTCTGAAAGAGTTGACTATTTCTAAAATAGAAATTGTATTATAAGCCAACAGACCATACTGGTAGAATTCTGAACCGGTCAGTTTAGACAGTTCAGAATTCTACCTAGAAGAATTTCCTGATTTCAACATAGAAGTTACATTAAGAGCAATTAAACCACCTATACCCATAGAGAACTAACTTCCAAAAAAGTTCAAAATTACTGAAACTTCTTTGAGTCAGCGTAGCTTCCAAAATTTGCAAAGTAAGATATATATTTCAAATTTTAGGATTGATAGCTAAAAGGTAAGTTTTGATACCATCTGGTCCAATTGTCTGATTTTATACGTAAGGAGGAACTGAGAGAAAATAAGAACCTAAATGGCTTGGCTGAGGCTATTGTCAAATTTGAAATAATAATCATCTTTTATGGATTCTGCTTCTATGTATTAATACCACACTTCCATCTGTTAATTTTTCCCTGTGTGAGAATAACTTTTTCTTGGATTTTCTTGAATTTTTATTTAAGACAACAAAGCAATTTCTTACAAATTTTTATTATGCCTGTGACTTGTCAAGAAGATAGATGAGCAGGATTCCTTTCTGTCCTTGCTCATTTGCTCAGTGAACCAAGTGTGTGATGAAGGTAGAATAGCATATAAGCATAAAAGGAGGAGCTATTAACACATAATAATCTAATAGCACGGGTTCATGGTGTAACGTATCTTAGCTGTGTGGTCTGTTACTGTATCTGGTTCTGGAGAGATGGTTTATGAACGATATCCTTGCAGTTATTTAATCATAAGCTAACTTTCCTATATCACTATTCGTATTCCTTAACTATTTTCTTCCATCTTTTTCTCCAACCTGGATCTTTTTCCTGTCTTTTCCAGTAGTAGAGATGCAGAGGACTCAATGTAATCATACTTGAAACACTATTACTCAAATCTGTTTTAAAGGATGGATTCCAAAATCACACACTTTAAAAAATAATGTCCATTTAGCAGCAGTAGCAGCTTGCTTCTCCCTCTCTGTCTCACTCAGTATAGAAAGAATACAAGCTGTAGAGAAAAATTCTTTGAACAAAAAACATGGAGCAAAAAAGAGTCATATTTCTCATCATGAGAACTGCCAGAGACAGAGAGGAGGGAAGGGATTGAAGGACAAGATGCCATTGGTGAGAGAGTTCTGATGGTTTAAAGGAGTAAGCGATGTATACGATTTGGGGGATACTAGGAAATAAGAGAGGGCTCCTGATTTAATCAGTTGCTGTGTGCTCAGGCTTAGGCATCACTACCTCCAATCGCCATGTTCACATATTTTATAAACAAACATTGAAACTGTCATCTACCCACATATTCTTAAATGCGATTCTGGTCAGAATGTGAGCTAGGATATGTTTTTTATCTCTAGTGCAAGATTGCTAGAGTTGCTTTTAATTTAAATAGAAATCAAAGACCAAAAGGTTGACATTTGATTTTTTATGGCTTTTCTCATGTCTGACTCTGTCTCAGTCATCAGGTCTCAGCTAAAATGTTATCTCCATAGATAACACAACGTGTAGTATGCTACTTTTTATACAAAAAGAAAGGATTATATATATATATATATATATACACACATACATATATTTTTGAGTGTTTACATGTTTATATAAACACACATAGATGTACATCTATCAGTTTATATTAAGAAATACTGGAAGGATAAACCATACAATTAAAAAAGTTGTCAGATTTTTTAAAAAGTGATTATGCCATTTTAACTCCTACAATATATGAGAGTTTCAGTTACTCCATCTGCTTTTGGTTTTAGCTACTCGGGAATGTGATATGTTATCCCATGCCATATTCGACCATTTTGAGCACTTTTTCATGTACCTGCTTGCCATTCTTCTATCTTCTTTTGTGAAATGTGTATTCACTACTCTTTTTCTTATGCAGTGGTAGTGTTTTTAGTTTTTTTATTTTGGGTATGTAGTAGTTTGTACATATTCTGGATATATCTTTTTTGACAGATACACAAGTAACTTTTGCTTCTATTATTTAACAGTAATAAAATAATATTATGTATAAAAGATATTGGCATATTTAACATTTCTAAATTGCTGAAAGTTTTAGAAGGAAAGCAATTAGTTAAAACACAGATTTTATAATTTAAAATTTAAAACAAAAATCACATTCTCTTATTTTGTTTCTGGTTTCAGGTGCAGTTAAAAACTAGCGTTTCTAGTCAGTATATAATTCGGATGCAACCAGCAAACAGGTGCCTTTCCACCCTGGAGTGTGCAGCTGCTGCTCTCTCCATCCTGGAGAAGGACAGTTCCATACAGGAGGTATGGCTTGGGAAGGTGATGGATTTTGAGAGTTGGAGTTTGGTTACATTTTACCTACAAAATTTAGACATGCTTCACCTGTTAAATTTGTTAACTCAAGTGACAAGTAGAATGTGTATCTGTGATAGGAATTTATGTACTTTTATAACCTTTCTTCCCCTCTGGTGTTTTTCAGTGTTAGCATTCCAGATTGCATTATTTAAATATTCATTTTAAGCTGTGCAAACAGCATTTGTAATATATTAAATTGCGTTTAAGTAGCACAACATTAAATAGAGTTTTGGAGCTAGCTTTTTCTTTTAGTATTTTCTGTTTCTCTTTTCAGCGTTTTGTGTTCTCTTATACTCAACTGTTCTTTCTTTTTAGTTAAAAGAACATTCTAGCAACTTCTTTGTTTTTGCATTGGTCATTTGAAGAGGTATAGTGACTTCCTGTTTATCATACTGACCTTGCTTAGAGTGTAAAAAAGACATTTTTTTTTTTTGAGAAAAATGTCTACAGAATTAGTAGGTTATAACCTACAATTAGCATGATATTTAAGTTCCACGACAGCATGATGATTTCATATATAATTAATAATTATCAATAAAAAATAATATTTTAACAAGCTTACCGGCATCTCAGTCTTTTGGGAACATGTAAGAAACTATTTGTAGCAAAAGAAAAAGTAGTGAATTAAAGCTTAAATTGTTAAGCCTTTTTAATCACTGAAAAATTCTGATAAATACAACTCAAGAAGAAAAGTCACAGGATAATGAACGTAACTGCATGGAGTTTATGGCTCCCTCTGATGCCC